GTTCCAATTGGAACGGATTAACCGGTTTTCAGTGCATTCCTATGAGAAATGGTGTTTCACAGAACGATGTTTCACACAACGTTGATTTTTTTGGAACCAGTTAACATCGTTGTGTGAGGCACCACTGTAGTTCAAAGATTCAGTCTCGGCATAACAAGGAAGCAATAAGAAAGAATGTTATGGCATCTTTAAAACTAGACATTTTAGCACGAGTCTCATAGATCACAGTCCTCCTCAGTTGTGGATACAAAAAATCATCTTAAAATATATCACTCGCCATAGCCAGGAGGAACGGTTGAGGGGCCTAATGCCAAGAGAGGCCCGGAAAGAAATAACAAGAAACCGGCCCTTCTCCGCAGTGGCCCCTCAGCTCTGGAATAATTTCCCATTGGTGATCTGCCTGGCTCCCTCGCTGGGTGTTTTTAAGAGCCAATTAAAAACTTGGCTCTTTAGGCAGGCCTTCCCTCCTGTCAATACTTTACTTTATTCTTATTATAATTTTCTCTTTTCCCATCTTGAGCATTATTAAGCATTACTAATCATTATTCTTTTGAATTGTTTTGAATTGTTTTAGTTTATAGTGTTTAATGGAACCCGCCCGGAGTAGACTTTGTCTAAAAGGGCGGGATAGAAATCTAATAAATAAATAAATAAAATCTATTGGGCTTTTGGTTATGTTAATTAAGGTAGAAAACAATGGTTTCTCATAGAAAGCTACTCTTATCCCTTTATTTATTTGTATTCTATTTGTTCTTCAAGCTGGGCTTTGAATTGCAAATAGTAAGTGACTTAGAATTAATTCCTTTTTGTAATAACTGAAATATAACTACATTGCATTGGCCAGAATCCTTTTAGAGTTGGAGCAGCTTAAATTAGCTGATTGTGTCTAACTGAGAAGGCACTGAGGTGCATTTTGGATACAGTGGGGTCTTGACTTGAGAACTTAATCCGTATTGGAGGGCAGTTCTCAAGTCAAAAAGTTCTCAGGTCAAATCTGCATTTCCCATAGGAATGCATTGAAAACCATTTGATCCGTATCTGCTCTTTTCCGTCCATAGAAATTAATGGGAAGCTGCTATTCCTCCTTCAACCACTACAGGGGAATATTTTGTTTCTTTTTTCCTTAGGTCAAGAAAGGTTCAGGGAAGGCAGGGAAAATACAGTCCAGGCAGTACAGTGGACCCTTGACTTACAGAATTAATCCGTATTGGAACGGTGGCTGCAGGTCAAAAAGTCTGTAGGTCAAGGCTCCATTGACCTACAGTGCATTGAAAACCGATTAATCCCGTAACAGGCCGTTTTTGTTCCATTTTGGTTTTTTTCTGGTCTGTAAGTCAAATCTCAGTCTGCAAGTCAAATCTTAATTTTGCGGCCAGAGAAGTCTGTAACTCAAAAAGTCTGTAAGTCAAGCTGTCTGTAAGTCAAGGGTCCACTGTACGTAACTGGTCATGTGTTAAATTGTGTAGGTCTGATGCACCCTGACACTAACAATTAGCAACAACAAGTTACTCAAACCTTGTGTGAGCACCAATAGCATTAAAACTGTTATTATTATAAAGTAACAAGAGATAGAGTCACCTCTTTTGACATGTAACATAACAAGGGAATCCATCTCTTATTTTCTGGTGTAACACTAACTGGTTTTAGTTATTTTTATAATTAAAGGGGATATGTAGCTCTTCCCCACTTGTGTTGTTATATGGTAGCAGTTTCTAGCATTTTGACATATTTGAAAAGTACCTAAATAGGAAAGAAAGATTACTTTTTAAAAGTACAAAAATGATTCTACAACTTTTGGGGAGGTCTGGGAATTGTGAGTGTAATAGGTTTTGATCCTGGCTTCTATGGCTAAGTCAGCAGTGCCCAGTGCTCCATGCTCGTGCTGTTGCCCCTTGTTTGAATTGCTGGCAAGGCATTTGCTTATATAATGAAAAGTATTTGTTCAGTTAGCTACCAAAACAGCTTTTTGTCTTTAGTTAGGCTCTTTGGCATTGTGACATTGCTAATGTGTCCTCCTAGTTTTGTGCAGATTATTTTGTCTCAAATGCCAGACATGCTAGTATGAGGAGTCTTGCTTATAGATCCGGAAAGGAGAGCTGATGATGATCTTTTAAATTCACATAAAAATTACTTTTCTGTTTCAGACGAAAATGCAGGAAGCAGATCTAATAGGGAAAACGCTCCGATCTGTTCTCCAGTCTCATAAACACGGAGTACCTTTTTCGCGACTGCAAGAAGAATATAAATCTTTGACTGGCGTCTGGATTCCTTTTAAGCAGCTAGGATATTCTTCACTAGAAGAATATCTAAAAAGCGTCCCTGGAGTTGTGAGGATTGAAATTGGAAAAACTGGTGAGGTAAGGAAATTAAGACTTCAATAATTACAGTGTCCGAGTGATTAAGTGACTGTAAACCTCCCACAAGGCTTTGCTATTGCCTTGAATACAGGGTTATGGTCCTTAAATGTTGAGGATATATTTGTGCAAAGGCTGTTGTGGCTAGTTATTTGCAGAAGGCCATCCTGTTATTGTTGGCATGAATTGTTCATGGACTGGGTATGATGTTTTATAATCTTTGGTCTTTTTAGACCATGGGTGTCTTAAACCTGTAGCATTGTACCTTTAAAAAAGAAACAATGCATGCATTCAACTCTCTGGTCTTTTTCTTGCCTCTTTATAGTCTGTATTTTAAAGGTAGTGGTACAACTTAGTTTAGGCTGAGTGTGAGGTTAAAGTGCATGCAGCTGAAGATTATTTTCTTTTTGACTTACAATTAAACATCCAGGGGTCTGATTATGACAGGCCCACAACACCCATGCTATAGCTGGTATAAATCACTTTTGCCCATATTCTTTACCCACCCACCACCCACATGAGCCCTGAAAAAGGTTAGTAGGTGTGATGGATTGTTTTGCTTTCTTTATCTGCCTGCAATGGGTTTTATCTCTCCTGGACTGCTACTTCCCTACTTGAAAGTACAGAAAGTTACTTTCAGTTCTGGCGGCTTCCAGTGAATACAAACAGTAAAACTTGCAAGTACAGAAAGTTACTTTCAGTTCCATGCTACACATTTAGCACCATGTGTAACAATGCTTGAATCAGAAGTTGAAGACTGGTCTCCCCTGTCAGTAAATGTGTTATAAAGTGGTTAGTAAATGACTATTTCACTTCCTATATTTGTTTTTTGTTCGGTTTGGTTTGTTTTTTTTGTCCGTGAGCAGGTGATATGCCATGCTGTTGTTTGCCAAGAGACGGCAATGATTGCTCAGCTTGTAGCCTGTCAGAGAAATTCCAAGCGGAAATTGGGCAAGCAAGTGAACTGTAGGATGAGGCTGAAAAGAACTTCTCCACCTGCCTCAGTAGGTAAGCATGTCAACTGCAAAATACACCATGGGTGCATGCTGAATTAAGTTCACACTAAGCACTACAAGAGCTTCTCTGTTATACTTGATTCTGCTGATGGTGATGAACTGGGCACCTTCTTGGAGTTGTTCCTATTACAGTCCTTCTGAATGTCTATTCACGTCAGTCCCTTAAGGACAGTAGTGTTGGAAAGAAAAACAAGGTCAGGGAGCATAGTTTTAAAGAAAGAATTCTAAGATAGTAGTATGTACAACCACATACATACTACTTTGCGGTGGTATTGTATAAAAAGCTGTTTTGTTTTAGAGAATATAACATAGATTCTGCATATTCTGTAAAAATATATTCTATATATTAAAAACAGTAAATGGTGATCTGCAGGGTTCCGGCTAGTTGTAGATACAGCTCTGGAGTAGATGAAAACTTCTGTTGAAATATTTCCATGCTGTAGGTAAAGTGAAAATGAGACTTAATGTTTTGTGTCTCATTTTACTGTGTCATAGGCAAGCCAAAGGGCACCCTGAGGAAACCAGGATTTGTTAATTTTGCCGAAGACAGCAGGAAGCCTTCCCTCCCACTGGTGAGAAATAAAGGAGGCTACACCGCTAGACCTAGCATGAATCCTGCACAGTATCCTCTGTCCCAAGAATTTGGTGTGGCTGCACCGAAAGAAGTCTTAATACAAGGGCACACTACCATGATGAGCAGGTTAGGCTGTGTCTTATTAGAAAACTTCTTGGACGTATTTTGGCCAATGTATTGAAGCTCTTGAATTCTGCATGTCCGGGGGAGGGGGGAGATAGTTTTCTGGTCTCACAAGCAGTTCTATGAAATACAAACTTGAGCAACAAGTAAAAATGCTACAGTATTGTTTGAGAGATGTGAGCATTTTTTTCTCATACTTTTCTTCTTACTCCTGGATTTGTCATTGTTTTTTTTAATTTGGCTCTGTGGTTTTGTTTTTAACAGCATTAGTAGAGATATGAAAGCTTGGAGTAGGAGTAAAAATACTATCTGAAGAAGGAAAGAATATGTCCTAGAACTTCCAAACGTTTCTGAAATTTGTCAGGGAGGAGGCGGCATGGACTATCTGTACAGTGTTTTCTCTGACAGTTATGGGTAGAATACTTTCTAGAGTAATATTTACCGGTATTGTAAAATTATTTTGGCTATTTGTGGGAGAATTCCTAGAGTCATGCAAGGATCACAATATCATGCTGTGCTACCAGTGTCTCTGTTTGCTTAAGCAAAATTTAACATGCAAGTGTCTACTGCTACATTCTACTGGGCTGTACAGTACAAGTAGCAGGTCTTCAGGCAGGATGACCAAAATCGTTTCGCCTGAACCCTGATTGAACTGGATCCAGACTCTTGGTATTCAGGAGCTCTCGTGGAATCATTGGGAAGCCACTGGGAGCAACAGGGATGATAGGAAGTTTTTGAAAATCATGATACTGATAAAGTCATTTGTGGCAGTGATTTTGAGTAATTAAAGAATTCTACCGCGGCCCACAACAGCTTCCAGAGTGTTGGACAGCGCAGTGGTTTAGGCATCTGACTGCCAAGCCGGAGGTTGAGAGTTCGATTCCCCACTGTGCCTCCTTGACAGGGGCTGGACTTAGTAATCCAGAGGATCTCTTCCAACTGTGCAGTTCAAAGATGATGACAGTGATGACTGTGAAAGAAATTCCAGGGGAATCTCCAGACCTTCAGTGGAAAAATCAGAAAATTATGGCTAATGGCATCAGCCTCACGTGGCGTAATTTATGGCAGTTGGATTTCACCCAGTAGTTAATGCATATGTTATATTATAGTCTAAGTCAGGTTCTTAGTTTTCTTTTTAAAGCTTTATAGGGTCAGATAAAGAGCATGAATGGCCCCAAAACTAGCAATTTTTCAGAAAATTTCAAAAATATTGTATTAAAAATCACAAATCATGCTTATTTCTGCCCCAAAAAACCTAACCTTTGGCTTACTGTTATTTTTCTTCTGTCTTCTTAGTCATATCTGTAAAATAGCTAGCCGTAGCAGACCTCACAGTGGTCTATGTTTAAGACTTCAGAATATATATTGGTGAAAGAGCTTGTAAAAGCTCTTTACGAAGGTGGATATAAAAAGACTTCAAATATATGCAATGTTCTATTTTTAAATGTTGTCCAAACTATATCGCCATATCCATTTTTCTGGCTCCTGCATATGTGGGCATAAATGAAAGCAGATGAGTTTAATGTTGAAATTTTGCTGATCCTGTCTCCAGTTATCCCTTGACTAAAATCCAACTTGGCAAACTCAGCTGCTGTGCCATCAATTCTGCATGTATTGTTTGTTGCAGCTCTAGCTCATCAAATCATGATGCAGACAACATCATCTTTGTTGGTCTATCATTGTGATTGGACTTATCAGACTAGTTCAGATGGCCTTGATAATCCCCTATTGTACCGTTGTAGTTCGTAAAACTTATTTCCTGAAGAAGCCACAAGGGAAAGCAGCATTTATAAATGTTAGTACCGTATATTCAGGATTATCCTGGAGTAGACCTTTCAATTACAATAAGCTTTCTATGAGTGACATGCCATCATTAAGAGGAAAGATCTGTTCAATGGGAAGTGCCTCTTCCAGATTCATTATGAATGTAGATAAGAGCATTAGTCACCAAAAGAGAAAGGAGTGCCTTCTCTTGTGATCTGAAACATAAAAGTGTGGTTTTTTAGGTTCTCGTTTTACAGTTTGTCCAGGAGTAAGCTTAACTGTTGGCTCCTCTTCATGCGAAAAATGAGTGATAATTTGCCATTTTAAACTGCAACTGTGGAATATATTTTCAAGTTCACTCTTTTGAAAGTTTCAAGCAGATAGAAAGCTGGTGCATTGAGGATAAAGGGTTGGCAATCTTCCCTTCTGTTTGCAGTTATTCTTTTTCAAAGATAGTATCCTAAGCTATCACCCAAGCTAACTGATTTTACACAACTAACATCCCCTTAATCTACTGCATTTTCCAGTTTACAGCAGCATAAGGACTGGTATTAAAAAAAAAACTAGTAATTGCAACCATGACTATTTGTTTCTTCTTCCCTAAGTTCTGTGCATTACTTTGGATGTGAGGAGAGAAGTGAGGGGGAAGCATGAGAGGATTCCATGGCACTCCTGGGTGGGTTTGGTGGTGCCCCATGGTACCATGGCACACAGTTTGGGAAACACTGTCACAGGAGAAGGAATATGGTTTAGGTGTTCAAAAATGAAAAGCTCCAGATTATCTACTCAAAAGGAAAAATGATTCAGTGGTTTAGGAGGAAACAGATTTTGAGATTGTGAAGAATCTATGCCTTTGCTTTTAGTGGCAGAAATGATGGAGGTTGCGCAAGTTCCTGGCTCTACATTCGCAGGAAAGAAGTGCATCAAATGGCAAAGGTCATGAGTGCAGAAATGAGAGAACAATGTAAAATACTCATTCAGCAGCACATTCCACTGTTAAACGTTGTATATAAAAGTGGGGGACAAAACCAAATGGCTAAATACACCACAAATCTGTAAAAGTTACCGTTCTGCTGCAAAATATTCTCCCTTAGTTGTAAACATAATGGCTGAAATCCTTTTGCATAAATTTACACCCCATATGCCAGATGATGTCATCATTTGTTGATGAGAATCTTTAACTTACTTTAAAAGTTTCTGTCTCTTCCTTACACTTCACGTTTCAAGGCTCCCTTTTTATCCTGTGGAAGCCTGTGAGAAGCTCTGGATGGAGAGGGAGGCCTTTAATAACCAAAACCTTCCCCCAAATTGTGACCCAACAATCCTGATCCTAATGGTTGCGATTTTCACCCTTAAAGCCCCCCCCCCCCGAGCCTGGTCCCAATGCTCCCTAAGTCTTCCCCAGGGCAGTAGCGAGCTTTGGAGCCTGAAGGACGTGGGATAGGAAGCTTTCAGTTAAAGATTCTCGTCACTGGATGATGATGTCGTCCAGCTTATGTGGCATAAATTTACACAGGAAGATTTCAGCCAGTGTAAATTAATTGTACCTTTGTTATTGGAAGAAGGGATGAATTATAAATAAATTTCTGTTGGAAAAAAGTATTAGAAGCTTGTAACTGGTCAATTCCAAGCAGGCACAGTTTTGTAACTTACTCTGGTTGGCGTTAGTAGAAGAATAGCTAGATTGTAGAGTTTATCTGAAACTGGTCCATTGGTGAGTTATATTTTGATTGAGGGAGAAGCTGTGTCACAGTTACACAGTGTTTCACGTTGTGGGACTGCTTGCTTGCTAGCTAGCTTTGTTTTACATTCTCCCTTACTTGCTATGTACAGTTAAAACACAATACATTCTAATGTTAAAGCATAAATAAACTGATTTTCAACATTAAAAACAGAAAGCAGTTAAAAACTTTTTAAAGCCACTGGAGTCCAAGATTGCCAACTTGAATCTCCAGTACCTTTTTAAATTTTAGTTTGTGCATGAAGCGATTTGTTCTGTACGTGTGAAACGTTTTTGCCAGGTCTTTGGATTCCTACCCCCCCAAGCAAGGAGCCTACTCTCAAATCTGGCTGAGGAATCAGCTTGTCCATCATAACAGCTTTGCAGGGGGTAAAATGCTTCTTTCTTATGTAACAGGCCAACAACCTGTAATCTTTACTGTGTAGATAATGAGAGACAAGCTCACTCAGCAGAATATTAGCTGGTGGTACTTTGACATAAAAATTGAATCAAGGGAGTGTGCTTTGGTATGTACTTTCTCTCTTTTTGTTTTTATTTTTTAGGCCTGAGAGGAGAATGGTGCTTCCGCCACGTTTTCAGAGAGAAATTCAAATTCATTTCTCAAAGAACTTGCCTTTGAACTTGAATGGTATGTACGTTATCTGGTCTAATATTAAATTTGCTGATTGCTAAGGGCAAGCCTTTTTAGAAAATCTGTTGTGAAGCTATTCACATCACGTGAGTGTAGCCAAAATATGTACCTTGCACAATATGGATATTAAAGTTTTAGTTCTGTTATCTTGAGTTTTATCAAGATTAATTAACAGCTTCAATGGTATTTTACTTTTCATCTGTCATTTCTTTAGAACTAAGGCTCCAAACCTTGGGTCCCCAGATGTTCTTGGATTGCAATTCCCAGCACAGCGAGTGGTGAAGGCTTCTGGGAGTTTTAATCCAAGAACATCTGGGGATCTATGGTGAAAAGATGAGTCATATCAGCTGATATGAAAGAATGTGCTTGAGACCCTGCAGAGGCAATAACAGAGTAGACACTTCTGGGCTAGATGAGCAGTTCAGCCATGACACAGCTGCTTATGTTCCTACCCCTTGGCTTTTTGCCAGTTCTCTGATCCCCCCCCCCGGCCCCATGAAAATGCATAACTTTCTGAAAAGCTCAACTTTCTGAAAAAGCTCAAGCAGCCACTGGCCAGTATCAGTGGGTTACATTTTTTGCTACAAATAATGCCACTGGCTATAATTTTGCTCTATCTAATGGGAAAGTTTATAACTTAAGCTTTATTGATGTGGATTGTCAGCTCAATTGAATACTTCTGTCATTCCCAGCAGTTTCATTAAAAAAAAGTACTGAGCCAGGCTCCTTGTCCAACAAGAAGGAAAAACTATTGTATATTTTAATTCATAAGCTTCCTAACTCCAGTTCCAAATAGTGAGGTTTACTTTTGAGTAAAATGAATAGGATCAGCCTATAAAATACGTTGAGTTTTTCCAATAGCAAGCTCATGATTGTACAAAAGTGTTTGCGCTCCAGATGGCTTACTCTGAAGTTCTAAGCCCTGTCAAAGACATGGAGAGAAGAATCCACCACAACAGTGCAAGATTTCTTTGCTTATTAGCTTAGTTATTTTTATTTTTATTTAGGTTTTTTTTCCAGTTTAGTCGGGAAACATCTAGGCTAAAGGCACTTGCTTAGTCTGAACTATGGCTGGAAGGATTTGTAGTTGAAAATGTTCAGTCATGCATCCAGTCCTTTTCATACTCTCCCACCGCCCGCCCCTTGTTTAATCTGTGGAATCCCAGCTTGCTCTGATTAGCAAACATATGAATTAATGGATCACTTTTCTACTTAACTAAAGGGCTTGCTCAGCTTTCTGTGTCACCCCACTTTTGAGAAAATGAGTTTATATTCAAAGAAGTAGTAAAGGGGAAGTTTGCCCAACCTCCTTCATCAGCATCCTCACTACATTCATAGAAGGAAACTGAGTACCTTGACAAGTGACCATCTAATCCAATTTATTTAGGAGGTGAGGGGGTTGCTTATTGAGTTTAAAGGGAAAAAATAATTTTAACAAAAAATTTTAAAGATTCTGAGCGTTCCAGAAAGGTCTGCCTTTTCCTAACCTCCTAGGACAGGTTAATTGCAACACATCTCCCAGATCTGGTTTGTAGCATCCATTTTATCAGATAACCTTTTAAACAGGAATGAGCAGTTTGCTATCATGGCAACCTGAAGCTGGAAAAAAAAGTTTTTAAAGGTGCAAATGCTCTCTCCAAGATTGTGTGCTTAATTTTGCAGAAAACGTGAAAGAAACCCGGCAGCCAGTGCAACCAAAACCTTCTTATCCTTCAACTAGTGATATAAATGAGATTCAGAAAAGGATTAAAGAGATTGTGAAACGATTCCACGACGGAATATGGTTATCCAGAATACCAGCGTTGTACAGAGCAGAGTATCACGAAGACTTGAACACAGCATTGCTCCCACAACTGGAACACTGGCCTCATGTTTGTACAGTAGGTAGCAACTCGGTAAGAGTGCTTAAAATGTTTTCTAAAAATCCAGCTGCCTGACTAGAATTGTATCTGTTTTTAGAATTTTGGGAAGTTTCGTATAAAAATAGTTTGCATGAAGTTTGAGATTTAATTTAAATGCAGTAGCTGAAATCCAGTAGTAAATCACAACTAGGTCCATTGAATCAGCAGAGATTTTGTGAGTCAGTTCCTGAGTAAGCTCTATTCACTCAGGGCCTACAGCCTACACTAGCTGTGACTTACACTGAATCCTACACCAGGGTTGGGTAGGCTCTAGGCATGCAGAATCTCGTGTTTTGGATCAGTGCACATAGTGACACAGGCAGGCAGAAATATACTAAGAATTAAGTCACAGGATGACTTTTCATGTGTATTCAGTCCAGGAAATTGTGGGAAGTACTGAAAATAACCTTACCAGTCCTTTCACACAAAAACCAATTCCTGGGTTTCCTCCAAGCATTCTTTCTGAGCAGTCATATTTGGGGGGCATTTTTAGTAGCTCCTGCTGTTAGACAACTGGGAGGCAGAAATGCTTGCTGATCTGCTGCAAATTACCCACATGTCTCCTGCATTTAGAGTCATCTATTGCCCTAACCCGAGTTTCTGCTGCATGAATGATGCAGCAACATCTACTTCAGACTAGAATGTGTAAGACAGTGGCTGGAATCCTGTTTTTAAGCATCGTAAACTGCGCTAGAGTAGACCCATTGAATCAGTGGGGATTTGATGAGTCAGTTTCTCCATAGGTTTTGTTAATTCAAATAGTCAACTCTAATTGCAATTTACTATGCTAAAGTGTTGCCACTAGAGTAGGCCCATTTGAATCAATTGAGCTTACAGAGGAGTGTACTCACTATAGCCTTACTGATTCAGTGGGCTTATTCTGGTCCAATTTATTATGCTAAGCAACAAGATTTCAATCAGAGTTGTGAGACTCACTACCCGAGCAATTCAAAACTACCTCAGCAACCCACAGCTCACTAATGAAGGGTGTGTGAATGTCTGTGATCTCAAGGTGCTAAGTAAAAAAAAAAACATGGTTGTGGGTGACTTGGATGATGGTAGCTGTATTCTAAACTAAATGATGGGTTTACAGTTGCTTCTGGGAATCTCTTTGATGCATTCATTGGGCTGTCTGGTTTTGTAATTTCTCTTCTCTCAAAGGCAGAGAAAGTAAGTACTGGTGGCTACAAGGATATACTTCTATACCCTGCTGGGAAAACGGATCAATCCGTAAAGAGCGTTTCCAGTCAAGAAGAAAAGCCTCCGCCCCCATTAGTAAGGCAGACTGCAGAGACCAAAGCAGCTGTGCTCCATCGAGACATAAAGCAAAAAATTGCAGGCATTTTGTTAAAATATTCCAGTGGCCTTTGGGCTGATGCGCTCCCAAAGGTATACGAAGAGACCCACGGAACAGCTTTGCCTCAGGGTCTTCTGAACAGTCTTGACTCACTCTCAGATATATGCACCGTGGATTACATTTCTGGCAACCCGAGAAAAGCTATCCTCTATGCAAAATCAAAGCAGTGTATAGATGAGAACCTGAATGTTACCAGTAAAATCAGTGTAAAGGAAGATCTTCGGCAACCCGTTGAGCAGCAACAGTCTACTGCGATGATACAGGAGTCAGAAGAAGCATGTTCAGAAGATATAACGGCACCTCCTTTAATCATCCCAACTGAAACATCGCCATCTGTGTTGGTGGTGGAACTGAGCTCCACCAATGAAGTTGTTGTCAGGTGAAATTAAAGTTGTGAACTTCTGAAGGTTATGTAAAGCATAGTGTGCTCTTACCATAGTTGGAAAGATCTACTCTGGTTTACTGAGGAAATTTAAATTTGTTCCTGCTCTGATTATTTCAAAGAGAGCTGGCTTGGTTGACCTTAATCCGGTCCATACCCCAAAGCCATTAATTACTTCAACAGTCCCAACTGTTCCAAGTACTTAACTGCCTTGGAGGGTGAACCTGATCAGGGTCTACAAATGTAGTCGTTGCCTCCATGGTTGTAATCACCAACCATAGAAAAATGAAGTTGGAATGAAGCCTATAAGGCCATTGAGCCCAACCCTCTGCTCAAAGGAAGGTGTAGGCCCTCCCCTCTCATCACAGTTTCCATAGGGAGGAGTGACCTGTCTGGAGTGGAAAGGCTTGTGTGTCAAGCTCAATACATGAGCGAGGCTCTTGGAAAATCAGGGCGCTTGGTTGTGTGAGGAGCCTGCATGAAAGCAGGAGTTTCTCTTGCACAGAGACCTCACTGTCCATGTGATGAGAGGGACAGTCGGAGTGGGGGAGAGGCTAGGTGCTCCTCTTTGTATGCACTGATTACAACATGGGAGGTAACAAGTCAATAAGTCGAGTGGGCTAAATCCAGATGTTAGTTCCCACAAGAGGAGTTCTATTGCCTGAACTGCATTGGTCAACACTTAATGTGTTTATAAACTGACGTGGAAGTTCTAGAGAGTTGCATGTGAGAGACTCATGAAGTCTCTTACATGCAACAAATATGCCACAGTATCATTCCTCACCCCCATCCCCCACACACTTCAAAATAACTGCTGCCAAAAGTTCGGATATTGCAGTCTTGAGGCCAAGTATACAGGAAGATGCAGAGTTGATCTTGAATTAGACTTGGCTGAATTGCTCCTTTGAGCAATCACTGAAAGAGATGTTATATTTGAAAGGTAGTGGCTCTATTCAGAAGATCGTTTTGAGGACCGCAGACCGGCTAAGCCTCAGAGGAAGGCGGGGAGGCCCCCTGCACGTGTGCGCGCTCTTGGGCGTGCGCGCAAATCAGTGGGAGAGCACTCACGCCGGGCTGGCATACGCACAAAGCAGCTGTGGGGAGGGGAGTGCATGCGGGGGGAGGTTTGTCTGTGCTCCGGTCAGCCTCCACAGCCGGGAGGGGGGAGGCAGCGACGTTCGAGAGCAACTGCCCACCGTTCCTCCATGTACACAGGCAGCCAGGCGGCCATCCAGCCCCACCAGGATGCCCCAGGGTGCTCATGGCCCCTGCCCCAGCCCCTGCTTGCTTGCTCGCCTGCTCCTGCTGTTACTGCTTGCCCGGGATGCTCGGGTGGCCTTTGTGCGCCCACGGTGGGAAGGGCTAGGTGGGGGGCGCCTTTGCCTGCCGTGCAGGCCACTGCCTTTTCCTAGAGGAGATGTGGCGGCAGAGGGGCAGATTCCAGCTCCCCAGGTGACCAGCTGGCTGGCTCGTCCCTGGCCTGCCAGGAGCAGGCGGGAGGGGTGGCTGGGCTGGGCTGGCCCCCCCCTCTGCCGCCATCATCATCATCTGCCTCGAGCAGAGGCGGAGGCTCCTCTTGGGGATTGGGCCATCGGGAAGCTCTGGCTCCGGCCCCCGCCACGTTTCCCAGAAGCACCTCAAGTCGCCATGACAACACTCCCATGGAAGGAAAAGCCTGAAGGAAGAGCTGCAGAAACTGATCTGACACGCCTTCACTGCCCTTGACTGGAGCGGCAAAGTCTCCAAGTCAGCAGCTCTTCCTTCAGGCTTCCCATGGCCACGTGGCTTTCCTTCGGCTTTTCCTTCCATGGAAAGGAAGGAAAGGCTCCAAGTCAGCAGCTCTGACTTTGCTGCTGCCGCAACTCAGGGCAACAAGGGGACCAGTCCTGATTCCTCCAGGTGGGGAGGCTCTGGGTGGGGCTGGCTCTACCGCACGCCGTGGAAGGCGGGTGAAGCTCAGGACGGAGCCATCCGACGAAGCAAGAAAGAGGGAAGGCCAGCCCGGGGAAACGCCGGGGCGCCCAAGGGCTCCCCAGGGCGTGGGCACCAGGGGCTTCTGAGGGCTCACAGCACTGACCTCAATGGGGCTGACGGGGTGGAGGAGAGCTTTCCTTCAGCGGCGGCTCCTGCTCTAGCACCAGCATGGGCTCCGGTGGAAGCTCAGCTCAGAAGATTTCCAACAGCAAGGGCTGCCAGCCACCCATCCAAGGGACCTCCCCATGTAAGAAGAGCTGCACGGAAGGGGGCCCTTTTCCAGGGGGAACCTCTTCTGCCCCGATGCCTGCTTTGAATGTAGAAAGCGGCAGCTCGTGTCCTTACTGGTTCTGGTTCTGGCTGGCTCTCGAAGGCGCCAGAAATCGAGCTTTGAGGGACTGCACAATCCCGCTGCATACAACCAGAGCACAGTCTCTCCACCCTGCTAGGCAACAGCTCCGTCCTCCTGCCTTCCCTTGAGGGCCTCCCGCTGAGGGGGAAAGGAGAAGTGCTTCAACGGTGCGTCGTTGGCAAAGGCAGAAAGTGCCCGCCGCTGGAGGGGGAAGAGACGTTACCCCACCACACTCACTCTCCTTGCTCCCATACACACACACGCGCCCCTTTTGGCTTGCCATGAGCTGGGACTTGGAGACTGCCACTTCCCACAGAAGGAAAAGCCAAATGAAAGCCACGTGGCCATGGGAAGCCTGAAGGAAGAGCTGCTGACTTGGAGACTTTGCCGCTCCAGTCCAGGTCGAGGGCGGTGAAGGCGTGCCAGATAGGTTTCAGCAGCTCTTCCTTCAGGCTTCTCATGGCCACGTGGCTTTCCTTCGGCTTTTCCTTCCATGGGAAGTGGCAAAGTCTCCAAGTCCCAGCTCAAGGCAAGCCAAAAGGGGCGCACGCGTGTATGGGAGCGATAAGAGCTAACGTCTCTTTCCCCTCCAGCGGCGGGCACTTTCTGCCTTTGCCAGCAGCGCACTGTTGAAACGCTTCTCCTTTTCCCCTCAGTGGCAAAGGAAGGTGGGAAGACCTTCACGCACTCCCTGTTGGGCTCACCTCTTCTGTGCCAGGGGAGCACAGGAAGAGACGGGGACACAGAGCAGACAAAACACCGGCAGAGTGCGAAGCCGTCAGGCGGTGGCGATGTCTGGGTCCAATGGCTTTTCATCGTGTGTGGGGGGTCTGTCTCCGCGGCCCGGTCCAGCTCGGCCCACGGACTGGCACTGGGCCGCGGACCGGGGGTTGGGGACCTCTGATTTAGAGGACTTCAGCAAGCACTTTGCCATGTGTTCACTCCCTCCATCCTTTCTACATAGAGGGCCTAAATCTTTGCTTCTGGTTTGAATTGAAGCCGTTCAGTGCTTGTTTCCAATGTCCAAAAGTGTTAGAGTGCTTATAAATCCTTGCTTCAGCCCTTGATTATAGGTCCCATGTTTTTTTTTCCATACTGCGGTTTATATGGAGGGAGGCTGAATACATAGTGTGTTTTATTTTCCTGTGAGTTCATTGTTGAGTTGAATAAAGAACCCCTAGATTCATGGCTGTTAGCTATTACATCAGCCACTGGCATCCGAGACGTTCATTACTTCCTAGCTTTGTTAAAGCATTAAGCCTGAATTGCATTTGGCTGTTTGTGAGTGAGTCAAGAGGCTGCGTGTGCTGGGCCTTCCCTATGGCCCAGTGTGCTACACTACAGCCCTGCCCCACCCAAGTTCTCAATCCTGCTACAATGAGCAATCAACTCTGAACAGGTTTTCTACCTGTGATTGCTAGAACCATGAGTAAAACTCTCTGTATATTTACATCCTACATCGCTAGGATGCATTGCGCTTCTGAAACTAACAGGGCACCATGTGTGCATAAGGAACCCACAGTCGCACAAAATATTCTGCTCATATTGAAGTGGTTCTGAGTAGAATTCTTGTTCATATTTTACAATTAGAAGCGGAAAGATTTTTAAACCGGGACAGCGGGGTTAACACATCAGGGAAGGAGGTACTCGGGTGCATTGCCCCCATGTGACACATTGTGATGTCCTGTTTCGGTTGTCCTGTCTGTGGAAATGCATACTTAATGCATTGTGTTTATGTGGGCAAAAGCAATGAGAGATGCCCCCAGCTGGTGCAACGGTTGAACACATCTTCATTGCTGCACATATTAACATTGTTAGCTATCTGCATGCCATTCTTCAGATGGTTGCTTGTGTACCTACCGCAGTTTGCATGGTTAAAGCAAGGAGGCAACATCGTTCACTGGCCTTCAGCCATACACCCTGGAAAGTCTTTTCATAAAAGCGAGGTGATTTGTCCTGGAAATGAGAGATGTTATACAGAGAATATTTGTAGGAAAGTATCTTGTAGCCAAATTTTCAGGAAATTCCGAAGACTCATCAAAATGTTGTTTTAAAGTACGTATTGGCATTCTCTGTTCCTTTTTCCATCCAATATATGCCATACATTTCAGTGGTGGTGGTGGGACTGTATCATCTTGTCTCAAAAATTCAAGGATAGTGAAAAGTAGAGATGGGGGTATTCATATATGAATACGAATACCCTCGCACAGCTGGAGTTAACAAGGGTCCAACCCCGGGGAGGGGGGGTGCTGGCCCTGTTCTTCCTTCCAATCACTCCGGAGCATCCGGTCAGCTAGCCATTCCTGGGAGAAGGAGGGAAGACTGGTCTCCCTGCAAGGCTGATGAGTGGCTAGGTGACCAGGTGTTCCAGAGCGATTGGAAGGAAGACTCATCAAAATGTTGTTTTAAAGTACGTATTGGCATTCTCTGTTCCTTTTTCCATCCAATATATGCCATACATTTCAGTGGTGGTGGTGGGACTGTATCATCTTGTGTCAAAAATTCAAGGATAGTGAAAAATAGAGATGGGGGTATTCATATATGAATACGAATACCCTCGCACAGCTGGAGTTAACAAGGGTCCAACCCCGGGGAGGGGGGGGGCTGGCCCTGCTCTTCCTTCCAATCACTCCGGAGCATCTGGTCAGCTAACCATTCCTGGGAGAAGGAGGGAAGACTGGTCTCCCTGCAAGGCTGATGAGTGGCTAGGTGACCAGGTGTTCCAGAGCGATTGGAAGGAAGAGTGGTAGAATGTCTTATGAATTCATTCCAAAAGGTACCATTTTAATTAGCCATTTAATCAAAGCAAGGTTGTGTACCATCCGTGTCTAAGTCGCACTGGCCATGTGACCACGGAAGATTGTCTTCGGACAAAACGCTGGCTCTATGGCTTGGAAACGGGGATGAGCACCTCCCCCTAGAGTCAAACACAACTGGACAAAAATTGTCAAGGGGAACCTTTATCTTAATCAAAGCAAGGTTGTGTACCACATGCTGATTGTCAGTGTAGTGCTTCCCAGGCAGAGCCTGCTTCTCCAAAGAGAAGTGGTGACTCTCGGAAGGAGCAGGTGACAACAGTGCAAGACGGTAGATGGGAGAAAGAGAGCTCTTGTATCTCTATTTGTGTATGTTTCGTTACACCTCTGGGTGTAACAAAAAGCGTGACAGGGAGAGAGAAGGATTGCCATGAATGAATTAGCTTGATTTTGATTTGGCTTGTTTCCTCTACAGTGTTCAGCTTTGCAATTGTTTTGAAAACTCTGTTAATGGTCACTTATTTTGCTGTCTGCAGTAACAGATTGTATTCTATGGTTGTCAAAAGGCAATATAGAAAGAGCAGTAACAAATGCTTTGCATGCCCAGTAAACTTCTTGAACATTGGGAGAACTATAGCATTAAGACAATGATAATAGAAAAATTGGCTTGCCTGTTAGGTTTGGCATAAAAATCACTAAAAATCTATGTGAGGTTCTGTCTAGAAAAAGCTAAATTTAGGAGGCTGCTGTAATTCACGAAAATTTTCAATATCCTAGAGTCAACCAAAAAAAACCCTTTAAGAGAGCAGTTCAAGCCCTAAATATGTTTCATGGTCTTATTATGCACTGTCCTGTGCACCTACACTTACTTATTTGTGATTGATATTAATCCCTCTTTATTGCTTTTCTAAAAACCAACAACAGCGGATTACATGATTTGAGAATGTTAATGATTTTACACTGCTCACCTTTTTATTCTTGTTGTATATGTATGCTGACTTTTCTTTCCATTTGAAATCCCATAGGTATGTGGGCAAAGACTATTCTGCTGCCCAGGAGTTAATGGAGGAAGAGATGAAGGAATGGTACCGTCAAAACCCTTCCATTGTTCAAATACAGTCACCAAGAGTTGGGCAGTTTGTTGCGGTGCCTGCGGAAGAAAATGCTTGGCTGAGGGCTCAGGTTGTTTCAACAGAAGGCAATAGCATAAAGGCAAGTAAAATGGGTTTTGGTAGAAGAAAACATCACCTCTTGGCACTGATTTTTATTCTGATTATTCTTTTGATCATGTATATTTCCTTGGGTCCTTCGGAAAGTGAAAAAGTGGAATTGAAATTGCATAAGCAAAAACAAAGACTGGTGATCTGTCCATGTGAGGTGAGGAAACCAAATTCGTTCAAGGAAAACAGAAATGTAGCTTTTGAGCTTTAGCAAATGGTCTGTCAGGATCACATCAAAATGGAAACTGACCCATTGTAGAAACATAACTGTGTTTATTTTTATATGGAAGAGATCTTGTTAGACCTTTTACCAGAGCCCAAGGAAAAATGGAAACTGACCCATTGTAGAAACATGATTATGTTTATTTTTATATGTAAGAGATCTTGTTAGACCTACCAGAGCCCAAGGGACTACATCAGTTTTCCTTGATTGAATTTGATCTCCCCACCCATGCTTATGCAGATAGATAACTGTTTAGGGAGCTTTTCTCTCCATGAAAGATGGCTAAAAGGCTGTGAGAAGGAAGCAGACCTCCAACCTAAAACTCAGGGGCTTATGGTTACATCAAACTTACAGCTGTAAGAAGCAGTCCCACAGCTTGTGCTCTTACATTTTGACTGCTGCTCCCGAAAACCCCAGCCAGCATTTCTTGTTGGGTAAGCCTGATGGTAGTTAATAGTTCAACACAACTGGAAGGTGTCAAATGAGATAAAGTGAAATGGAAGCATAATTTATATCAGCAGGGATGTGAGCAAGGAATGAGAGCTCATTGTAACATGTCTGTCTACCTTTCATTTTGTTTTTGTTGCGCTCTTAGGTATGCTACGTTGATTATGGGTTTAGTGAAACCATTGAAAATAGAGTATACAAACTGGCCAAGCATTTCTATTCCCTGCCATTCCAAGCTTCAAAATGTAGACTGGCAGGTAAGAGATGTGCCTTTCTCTGCAATAGGTGCAAATAGCATTGAAGTAGGAGGAGAAAGAAGGGCTGTGTCTCGTTCTGAAGCCTGCAAGATTGGGGAGATTGTGATGGACCCAGCCTGGCGATGCCACAATAAAGAGAAAAGAGGGTGGCAGCACAATAAATGATAGTTTGCCTATTAATTGGGTTCATTCACCTTCACCACCTACTTTCCCAGTAGAAGACAAATTTGAGGTTGTACTTGGAAATGTAAGGCATTTTGTACGTAGATGTGACTTGAGGCAACATGAGTGTATCCGTTTTCCACACGTGACACAGAAGATTAATGGAACCCAGCCCACTAGCAGGCTGACTGAGTTTGGATCTCTTCTTAATGGCTTGAGGGAGATAATGGTGTGTATATGGTGAGGGAAGAGACTGATCTATGCTACTAAAACAAAGAGATTGTTTGTTAAGAGTGTGTGGAAAACTGTTGACCTGGTCTGTACTGGAATAAAGGAGGTACAGGCTGCGGCCAACCTGCCCTGTGCTCTTTAGGAGTCATTCTAACCTGCTGTGTCCCTGAGTTAAAGACAATTAACTGTCCATTTTGAATTTCTATTGTATTTTTTAAGCCCTACAAATTGGGAGGAACACAAATGGCTGTGACACACCCTAATTGTGTGACTTGTCTGTTCAGAGTTCATACAGTATTCAGCCTTCTATAGTCGTATGCACTTGTAAGTCGAAATAGTGTAATAATATTTCAGTAACATTTAGTGAACTAAGCTTGGGTTCTGTCAGTGGGAGGGTTGACTGTCCTCTGTATTTGACTTTGGCACCAGCAGCTGATACTATTGTATTACTTTTGATTTTCCTTTTCTCAGTTCAATTCACCATCTTTTTAACTCCATCAATACTGTTCAGTATATGTGTAGAAGATGTTGAATACTTGGTGCTAAGATTTTCTGTGGCAAAAAGTTGAACTCTGCAAGCACCTGTTGTATCTCCTCATATCTTATCTAGTTTGGCCTTCAAATGATTGGAAAGCTTTATCAGCTGTAGCTTCTGAGATTTACCAGGTGGTCTCATAACTCTGTGGTAAATTACATGCTTTAAGCTGGGAAGGTTGAAGGTTGTGTCTTGACATTTTGAGGGAGGGGTAGAAGAGAATAATTCTTGACACCTTGTGTTCACAAATACTGAACTGGGAGGACCAGTGTTTGACTCAATATAAAACAGCTTCTGATGTTCTCTAGCTCAGTGGTCCCCAACCTTGGGCCTCCAGATGTTCTTGGACTGCAACTCCCAGAAGCCTTCACCACCACCTCTACTGGCCAAGATTTCTGGGAGTTGAAGTCCAAGAACATCTGGAGGCCCAAGGTTGGAGACCACTGCTCTAGCTCATTCCCACATAAGTATATCTTTATAGTAAAGGCCACAGACTGACTTGTTGTTTGCAGTGCTTTAGGGAGAGTTAGACATGACATAGCAGTAGTTTATGTTGGAAGGCCAAACTAAGATACTGGGACTAACAAGCCCATGGAAAACTTCCAAGTCTTTGCCACGAAGTGAAGTTAAGCAGGCAACCCATGCAGACACACTTGACACAAGAAGCTCTATTTTAATGATGTATGTTAAAGTTCTCTTGTTTCTTGATTTCTTTGATATAGGGTTAGAAGCATTCTGTGAGGACCCTGTCTTGGTGAAGATGGTAGAATCTCAAACCTGCGGCAAGATATTTGCTGTGGAAATACTGGACAAAAGTGCCATTCCCCTTGTCATCCTATATGATACTTCAGGGGACGATGATATCAACATCAATGCTGCTTGCTTAAAGGCACTTCGTGACAAATCGCTTGAGCTTCATGTTCAGGTAGTGCCTTCATCTTCTTGTACCTCCTTGATAAATACACTTAGAAAGACAGGATAAGGACATGTAACTTGCAGAGGACCCCAGTGCCTAAAATGCATGCTTCATTTCCTTTATAGGTAGATGCACTTTATACGAACGTCAGAGTGACCAATGTTTGTTCAGATGGAACTTTATACTGCCAGGTGCCATCAAAGGGCCTGACCAAACTCTCTGAAGTTTTGCAGAAACTGGAAAACTATTTCCAGCACAAGGTTAGTATAGCTTTAATATTAATTGGTTACTGTATATTCCCAAGATTTACACACAGTTAACCAAACGACAGCTTGCGTGCAAATAAAGAAATCCAAGAGAATTACTCAATCATTCTTGCTCATCAGGTTATGATACAGTATTTGGGTCTGTAAAGGACAGTAATTCTGAGCCTTGACTCCTTCCCGGTAAACCTGCACAGGGGTTGCTGATTTTTGGTTTTGCTCCAGATAATATTATTTCTCAAACATTATCTATGGAAGATTGAAGCCAGTCTTTTTTTTCTCTTGACTGGAGGATGGTCCTGTTAAATTGATTTGGGTGGCACAGGGAACTGATCACTACAGTCAGGGATGAGATATAAAGGTTCCACATTGGGTTCCACCAAATAATGCACTTTTATAGTTAGAGCTTCTTACAGTGTTAATGCTAAAAAGGAGTGGATGTGGAAGTAATCAGCTGACTTTTTATAGAACAGTGGTTCTACGCTTTGAGACTCCTGTTACCTGTCTGTCATGGGTTTGGAGGGAAAGTTCCATCCTATGGGGAGTGGAAGGCGGGACATCAGGAGGAGGGGCTGTACTGTATAAATATGTGATGCCTGTGTGGTGAAGAGTAGATGCTGAGACAGACTGTGAGACGCTGATTTTTGGTTTTGCTCCAGATAATATTATTTTTCAAACATTAACTATGGAAGATTGAAGCCAGTCTTTTTTTTCCTCTTGACTGGAGGATGGTCCTGTTGAATTGATTTGGGTGGCACAGGGAACTGATCACTACAGTCAGGGATGAGATATAAAGGTTCCACATTGGGTTCCACCAAATAATGCACTTTTATAGTTAGAGCTTCTTACAGTGTTAATGCTAAAAAGGAGTGGATGTGGAAGTAATCAGCTGACTTTTTATAGAACAGTGGTTCCCAGCTTTGAGACTCCTGGTGGCCTTGGACTGTTGCTCACAAAAGATTTGAGAAATGCCATAGGCTTTCAGCTGTGCTAACAAATGCTTCTGGGTGTTATAAGCCTGAATATATTTAGAGATCTAAGAGATATAGTTACCTAGTATAAATCTAGTTTTGAAATGAAGAGATATAGACGCCTTTACCTTTGAGGAGAGACATCTGGAGTAACACATGTGATATGCAGAGGACATACCAAAACAAATGTTTTTAACTAGCAAAACTGTTGCTTACCTTTGAAGTGGTTTTTTTAATATTATATTTTGAGTGCCCTTCTCTGATAATGCATGGATTCTAACTTGCTATTTCCAAGCTCTGGGTAAGATATTATTATTAAGTTAGACAGTGGCCACTGCCGATAGTGCTTTTATGTTCAAATTGTCATATAAAATGACCTCAAGCATTTATATAGCACTGTACATGTCATATATATTTTGAAAATGTGTTGATCCATGTTTCTAGTTTTGTCACCAGTTCTTAGCTGGAGTGGAAGCATGAGAAGGAGTTACTAATATGTGCATTTGCTTAGTAGTATTTTTGGTATGATATATAGAAAGTGAATTTCTTTGTATGTAGGACTAGGTGTGTTCCATCTTCTAAGAGCTGCCTTAGGCCATCCTGCTCTCCTTGTTCTGTGTCTGATAGTGGTGGTGAGTATGACTGTTAATTGGCCATCATTTCTTTATTGCAGCCAGCAACAGAGTATTCAGTATCACTACCTTATTGCGGCATGATCTGTTTGCTTAACTGTAAAGGAAAATGGGCACGTGTAGAGGTAGGCAACACATAACATTAGATTCAAAAAGCCACATGTCTTTTCCTTGTTCATATTAGAGTCTAGAAAGTGAAATCTGTTTTTTTTTCCTTCTAGTTTGTGCTATTTTATAAGTTACATCTGTTCAGCTGCCACTAACTAATCTTAAACCTACAGTTCTATCAACTGGGATTTTTCCTCAAGCCAATTTCTATTTTCCGCTTCGGATGTCAAAGGGATCTGAAACCTACAGTTTCAGATCTTAAACCTACAGTTCTATCAATTGGGATTTTTCCTCAAGCCAGTTTCTATTAAAAAATCTTGACATTACAATAGGATGGAAGCCCCCCTACCAATCTAGTATTGCTGTAAAATCATTTTGACTAAGCATAGATCAATACCTGTTCAATGTTTAATTATCATGATGTGTGTTCAGCTTTAATAAATACGTTGCCTTTTTCAATTCTTCATTTTGAATGTAGCAGTTGATTTCATACTTTTAATCCCTGGAAAGCTTATTCCACCATTTTGGTTTAGAAACTTTATGCCAAACACATATGTCAAGGCTATATCTTCTCTGAAATTTAACTGATCAGAAGCTTTTATAGAACCAAATTTGCTTAATATAGAGCATGGTTTCAAACATTGGATCCTTAGATGTTTTTGGAATACAACTCCTGGAAATCTTCATTTTGGTTTAGAAACTTTATGCCAAACACATATGTCAAGGCTATATCTTCTCTGAAATTTAACTGATCAGAAGCTTTTATAGAACCAAATTTGCTTAATATAGAGCATGGTTCCAAACATTGGATCCTCAGATGTTTTTGGAATACAACTCCCGGAAATCTTGCTGGCACAGCTAGTGGTGAAGGCTTCTGGGAGTTTTAGTCCAAGAACATCTGGGGACCCATGTTTGGGAACCCAAGCATTGGTCTGAGTCTTAAAAACCTTATCCATCTGTGGTATCCCTGAGACCCACTGGGAGGTGGTTATTCCACCTTAATAGGTTCCAAGTCAGTCTGAAAAAAGAATCTGGGAAAATAACTATTTTCATGTTAGGATTTGTAGATCAAAAAAGTAACTTTTTCAAGTTCTGGCCTGAATGTGGTCTTTGATCTTAAATGATTTGCAGGAAATGAACTAATTTTGATCTTGCACAAATCTTAGACAATGAATTGATTTATTTCACCGTCTCATATTTTGAAAGACAGTCTCATGCTGATTCAAGATTAGAATATACTTTTGAAAGCTGCTGCATTTTTTTTCATACTTTGCATCATTCCTTCTGAGCAGATAACAAGTGTTCATAGTAGCCGGGCCCTTGATGTACAGTTCATGGATACTGGGACAGTAACATCTGTAAAAGTAGTGGAGCTGAGAGAAATTCCCCCAACATTTCTGCGTGAAATCATTGCCATACCACCTCAGGTAGGAAGATTTATTCTCATTCATTAATTCTCCTGATTGCTCTGAGGCATTTGGCATGTAGACATAATTACTACTCCTGTTTGCATCACAGTATACTCTTATAATACCCTAGTAACTTTATGATTGCTGATTTTTAGGCAATAAAATGCTGCTTGGCTGACCTTCCTCTTAATATTGGCATGTGGACCCCTGATGCTGTACTTTGGCTGAGAGACACAGTATTAAACTGTCCTGATTGCAGCATAAAGGTAAGGAAAAAAACCCAAAACCCATATCTGTCAATTACTTAAAATCCGTTACTGTAAAATGGCATTGAAATGTCTCATGCATATATCAGTTGAGTTCATTTTTTTCACCTTTGCTTGGCTGAAAGAGTGAATGTTATGGTCATATATCCAAGAATTTCCACTGATATATGACGGCTTTTCATAACTGATTTCTCTCTGTGTAGTAAAGTCTTTCCTTTGCATAAGCCTCTGTAATCAATCACATAATGATTTGCTCAGCCTGTCTCTGCTCCATCTGCTTTAAAAACAAGTTACCAACTATGTATGTGTCCTAGTGCATTGCCTGTGTATATCTTTTTCTTGTTTGAAAGCAGAGTCCTAGTTAAAGTTGAGTTGGAGTAGCAATGTAGTATTTGACATTTTTGTTTTAAATTGGCTGTCCTGACCTAAGAGGTGTGGCTGCAACTTCACTACGGTATCACCCACTTGCTCCTTGGGCACGTGTGAGACCCAGAAGGGGTGATGAATGATATTGGCTGGTGAAGCCAACCAAAACTGAGCTTCCAGAGCACCAGTCTCAACTGTGACACAGCTGTGCCAACCAGGAAGCAAAAGTCCACTTCACAAAGCACACTAGCCTTGAAGGTAGTACTGCTACAACACACACACCAAACCTCTTCTCGGTAGGTAGTAGAAGAGCCAAACGTGAATTGAGTATCTAGGTACCCAGGCCTCAATATAGAGACATTTTTAAGTTTATTAAAGAAGAGCATTAAAAGACAAAAATAGATTTCAATACTGAAAAACTGGAAAAGGCAAAACTCATAAGCGAGACAAGTTTAGGGAAAAGCAGGAGACCACAACAAGAAAACAAACTTTCTGTCTAATACCTGTGTTGTAGTTATTCTAGCACAGAGCACTCTGTGGCCTCAGAGCATACACAGAATGCATCTCAGAATAACAGCAAGGCACAATAGTAACCAAGCATAACATCCTCCTAAGAAGTAAGCTAACCCCACAAGTGGAACTCGTAATAACCCTTTTTCAAATGTTAAAGTCTGTTTCTATAGACCCTAACGTGCCTTCAACCAGTCAGGTCTCATCCCAGGGAGGACAGAAGTCTCCCCCATCCCTACTCCAGTCCCTGTTAGCTGAAACCAGTTCCTAATTAGCACTGTAATAAGCTGTCCTTGAGAGGTTCTGTCTTGATGCTGGTTTTTGCACTATCACACTCCCTTCAAGTTTGCCCACCTTTTGGACAGCAATTAGATCAGTGGATCTGACGGTAGTCCTCTGAAGAATTTGTAGTCTATCAGTAAGAAGTTCTCAGTTGTTCGACAATAGCAACAACAAAATATGTTTTCCCCCTAAGTTGTACTGGCAAAATAGAAAAGCAGTACTGTACTGTGGGTCTTTTATTTTTATTTGCCCCTGTGTAATGGCTTGTACCTGTCAGAGAACGAACTGTTAGGTTCTGCTCTTTTTGTATAACTCAGTTATTATGCATGCTTTGTACTTTCTTGCCTGTTCATGACCTGCTCTTCATAAGTTTCACACTGATGTAAAAGTCCCTGAATCGAATTTCTTCCTGCCATTGTTTTCTTTTAAGTTATTCTATATCTGATACTTGCTGTGTTCTTTTCCTGCCCACTTTAAGGTGGTTAAGCTGGATGACAGGATTGCACATATCTATTTATTTACACCAAAGAACTCCCCAGATCCAGATCGAAGTATAAATAGGCAGATCACGAATGTAGACTTGTGGAAGCATCAGAAGGATGTCTTCCTGAGCGCGGCTCCGAGTAACTTCCCTGGAAGGAAGGAAGCAGACTCGCGAGAGGTGGCCAGTGCAGGAGTCAGGAAGGATTCCGCTGCCCATGTTCCAGAGCTAAGCGGTGCTGCAACGTCTTTGAATATGCCTCCTCCTTTGAAGCTCGTCCAGCCCCAGGAGCAAATGGATGTTTTTGTTTCACTGGCTTGCCACCCTGGTTACTTTGTCCTCCAGTCTTGGCAAGAGATGCACAATTTAGAGGTCCTGGTGGAAGAGATGCTTCTCTACTATAGCACAGCAGATGAGCAAGCAGTTACAGTGGAAAAGAACAGAATCTATGCTGCTAAAGTGGACAACAAGTAAGTAAGCTTCCCAAAGGAGGCCTTCCGTCGCCGTTAGTGGCACTTTAGTCATCCTGGGAGTCACTGAGACTGAGGCATGCCGAACCTAGCCTGGCTGCAGCTCTGTGTGTTCAAGAATCTTAAGGGCATTTCTGCTGGATCAGGCCAAGTGCCCCTCTGTCTGTCCCAGCACTGGCTAGCTGGAACTTTGTTTATGGGTGCCGCTCATCTTGGGGAAATGAGATTCCAAGGAAAAGTGTGTGAGCTGTCACTGGATTTCCCCTTTAAACCTACAGTATGTGGGGCACAGAGAGGGTGCAGCTCCAACACACAATGCACCTGCTGTCCAGAGCGATATGGCCTGGAACATGAAAGTACCATTGAACTGTCAGATCTAAAGATCTCTATGTCTTTCCTTCCGTGCCCTTTCCTTGAAAGCCTTTGGGCTTTCTTTCATTCTCGCTGGTCTTCCTTCCATGCCCTTCTGCTGTTCTTTGGTTTCATGACTCCATAGGCCATTCCTTTTGGGGAAATCTCAAATGTCACTGTTTAGGGGTATGTTTTGCATGGATAGCTGTATATCCTTCACCATTTACTTTGGGGTAAGCAAAGGGGCTCAACTGGCATCCCTGACAGGGAAAGAGGAAAAGAGCCAGGTCTGTTACTGTACATGTCCCCAAGACTTTCTTTCTGGACAAGAACAGAGAAGGGGATTTGACTGATCTAACGCAGCTGTTAAAAGACCAAACCAGGTCTGTTACTGTACATGTCCCCAAGATTTTCTTTCTGGACAAGAACAGGGAAGGGGATTTGACTAACTGTTAAAAGACCAAGACTAGATAGGATTTCTTGAATGAATGAGAACTTGATGAGCATATTTTGAGGAGGATAAGCAACTCTTAAGAGGTTGGAAAAGTGGCAACCAAATAACAGGTGTTAATTCATTTATTGTTAAAAGGTATTTAACTAACAGCAATAGTAAAATGTGATCTACATTACTACGTACTTAATTTATGCCTTGCGGCTGTACAGTTATTGTTATGTTTTATCTGTTTCTTAGGTGGTATAGAGTATTAATAAAAGGAATGTTATCAAAGGGGCTGGTGTCAGTGTATGAACTGGACTATGGAACACATGAGCTTATTAGCATCCAGAATGTAAGACCTCTGCTGGACTTGTTCAGAAAACTGCCATTTCAGGCCATAACTGCCCAGCTTGCAGGTGGGTGCCGGATTCTAAATGATTGAAATGATCAAAAATGGAGGTTATTTTAAAAAGAAATTTAGTGTAGGTTCGTTTGAGCCAACTCAGTTCACCATCTCTCTTTTATGTTCAACCTGGAATGTTGCAGAATATCGATAATGTTTTAACCCTTAAAAGCACATTTTCCTCTGCTGTGAAGATTTAGGAAGTCCATCTGTTATGTGCCACTGAGTATAACTTTATGAGAATTTATAGTTATTTCATCATCTTTGGAGCCATGTAGCTGGTTCAACCAAATCTTTTTTTATTAAAAGAATGGTGTTGGTTGCTGGGTTAGGAAACCATTGTAAATGCACACATGAATATATTTTCAAAATCTTTATGTACAGTATCTAAAATCTGCTGGTATGATATATGCGTGAAACTCCATTATTCTGGAGCTGCACCAGTAAATCATTCGCAAAGAATTTGTCACTGGAGTGGTTTGCATGACATGTTAGGAGGGGGAAATGATTAGTATGTGTTTCAAGGAGCCAGTGTTGCCTTCCTGCAATGTGAGTCCATACAAACATTTTAAAATGCTAAATGACCATTTTTACATATGGAATGGAGTGATATGCTATAGCCCTTGTCTTCATCCATTTTAAACCTTTTCAAAACTTCCAAGGTGGGAAAAGGGACTGATATAATTGAAGTACATTTAAGCAAAAGATTATATTGGCAGCTGAAACAGGGAAAGCACATCAGCAGTGTTTTACAACTCAGTGTAAATTGAAAGTATCTTTACCCATTGCTTGTTACTGATTTACACCTTCATAAATTAAGCAACTCACATATGCAAGTTGTTGCTAACAGAGAAGACACCATTCAGGCTGCTAGGTGCAGTTGGGAACACGCCTCATAATGCGATTGGCAGCTTGTTAGTAGCAATTTGCCACAGTGCATTTACGCCATTTAAATTGTGCATGTACAGATAAACAGGATTCTGTTCACTGAGTTTTGCACCAGCAGAACCTCCTTGGGCACCTACTGCTGAGAATATTATTTTACTCTGCTCAGTGTTCTTGTCATCTGTGCCAGTGGGGCCTGTTCCAAAATTAGGAAAGTGTTCTAAAATCCTTTTAACATGTCATTATTTTGTCGTATTTGGCCATTCCACTGATTAAATTACTTCAGCCCGTCTGGATGTTGCATGTGACTACTCTGTTGCTTTCCAGGTGGAGTGAGCAGCCTCCAAATGCCAGATACTGAAGGTCTTCCTACGCTGAACCACTTGGGGCTATTAGTGTATATCTGGGGATAGGAGGCATGTGGGTAAACACTTGCCTATGGAAGCCTTGCTTGGCATCATTATCCATTGTGTCAAAGAACAGGCCTCTTGCTTTAGCACTCGGCTTTAATAACCGTAATCTTAGAAATGCAGATCAGAACCTTTGGATCATCAACTCCAGCCTCTCTCAAGGAGGTACAGTGGGGAATCAAACTCCCAACATCTGGCTCCATCGCCAGACACCTACACCATTGAGCTATCAAGCACTTTTACATGTGAAAAGATTTCTTTCAAGGGCCATTCAACTCATGATGCACCCCACTTCGGCATTTGGATTGTTATGATCCAATAAGTTTTGCCCTATGATTTGCTGTTAGGCTTAAGCCAAAGATAAAACTAGGTACAGTATGGGTTGCTGGAGCGATCAGGGTTTCTTTACTAGTGCAGCGTAATCACCCAAATACTTCTATTAACTGTGCTTGGAAGTGTTACTGGATTTGGAGTACACTTCGCAGAAGCCCCCCAACCATGACCTGCAGCTGCATTGACCGCGGTAGAGGAGTCTGGGAGTTACCTTTAGAAGTAAATTTTTCAAATTCTGTTTTATAGCACAGTAAATGATCTAGTTTGGTAACAGGGTGGATAAAAATCTAATTTTTTTAAAATCAACTTGATTTAAATCACAATTCAAATTTTAAAAATCTGATGTAAAAATTTTTTTAACAATAATTTAAATCAAATCCACACAGGCTGGTAGCCATGTTAGTCTGTTGTAATGGGGGGGGGGGGAGAAGCCTTTTAGCACATTTAAGATTTACTCGTTTTTATTTTTTCAAAGTTTCATGCATCCAAGCCCACTTCTTCATTTGAAAAATACAGACTATTTTAAATGTGCTCCTGGTTTCCACAGCAAATGATGTTTTTAGTTATTCAGAGATGGATCTTGTACAAGTTCTTTTCAACATGTTTGCTGCCCATCTTTCAAGGACTAGGTTCTGCAAACTTGGGTTTCTCTGTTGCATTCATTCCTACATCACAGTCGTCAGTTTTCCTTGAACATTAAGGTTTAAATTTCTATCACTGGAGCATAGGGTAAGTGAAGTGATGTGTGATGGGCTGCGGTTGTATGTAAAAGGACAGCTCTTCGGGTGGGTGTGTCTGACTGCACAGCCATCATTGATATCGCATATGCTCAAATCTGCAGGCTTAGAGATTGCTTGCTGTGTAGGGGTGGTCTATCCCAAAGGTCCCCAAACCTTCCTGCACCATAATGCATCTGTGTTTAATTTGGTTCTGTGCCTCTTTCCTCTAGGAATAGAATGTCAGCAGTGGTCAGAGGAGGCGTCAGTGGTCTTCCGAAATCATGTTGAGAAGAAGCCCTTGGTTGCACAGGTGCAAGCAATTGTGGATGGAGCTAATCCGTGGGATAAAAAAGCAGTTGTCTACTTAGTTGACACATCACTACCCGATACGGATATATGGATCCATGATATTATGACCCAATATTGTATGCAGATTTCAAAATCAGATTAATCTGTTTTTACATTTCAGTTACTTGAGCAATAAGAATGTGAATGTTAATATAACTGTGACTAAAACTTCTGGTTTACTTCTGATTTTTGCACTGTTTAATGCAGTGGTTCCCAGCCTTTAGTCTCCAGATGTTTTTGGACTAAAACTCCCAGAAATCCTGGTCAGCACAGCCAGTGAGGAAGGCTTCTGAGCATTTTAATCCAAGCACACCTGGGGACTCAAGGCTGGAAACCCCTGGTTTAATGCTAGAATGTTATCTATATGAATAAATATTTCTGTTAACTTACTCTGTTGGAACCCTTGCCTTGTACTTCAGATTAAGTATTAGTTAAAGGTAAACTTAACAGTTGGCCTGCTGGTTAGATGGAACTCTCAAGACAACATTATTTTGATCCTCCTGGCCCTACCATGTTAAGACCTCTGCCTTTTAGATAATCACAGAACAACATGGAAAGAAAGATCGAAAGAGTTGCGGTCTGTCAGAAAATACAACAGTAAATTAAATGAACCCAGGTTTAATTCTTATTAAATGAGGTATGTTCACAAGATCAATACTGTGCCTCAAAACCTGAGATCAAGACCATGGAGACCGCATACCCACATGACATCACTCTGGCCATTTTCTGTACAATAACAGCACTGAGAACTTTTAACTGGGATGAACAACTTTTATCTGCAGCAGGCAGGACCCAACTCTGATTGTTTATTAATGAACGAGTAGAATGCAACAGATGTAAGACAGGAACAATCTTCCAACTGCAGCTCCCTGTGCATTCCCAAAAAGCAGATTCAAGGAACTGGAAAGAATTCCAGGGAATTGGAAAACTCCCTGGGTCTGATTACAGGCAGCTCTGAAAGCTACAGGGAAGAAAACAAAATCATGTCCCTTGTTGGAGAGCCACAGTGGATTCAGGCCTGTGATTGTAAGCCACTTACTCTCTGCTGCTGCTTTTTAGTTCTCTCTCTCCCTCTCTCTCTCCCATTCCCTCCTTCCCATTAGTGAAAATGGTTCACTTAATAATTACAAAAGAAAAGCAAACTGCAGTAATTGAGTCTGAAGTTATTTCCAGATACCAAAACTACACAACAATAGCATCTTTCCCAAATGCCTTCTAAACAAACCCAGCTATATATTACCTGGCTGCTGTCATCTGTTTGTGTGGCAGTAAATCCAGATTTCCTGTAGCATATCGACTCCACAGCTAGTCAAGGTTCTGAGTTGTATTTGTGACGCATGTGTTTCACATCTTGTGCTATACATTTTACAACAGGCACCATAAATGTGTTTAGGTATAACAGTATGCATATTTTATATTTCCAAAGACTCGTGATTGATATCAGTTTGTAAGTATGAGATTTTCACACCTGCCGAACTTCACAAATGCTCATCCTCTTTACTGCATTCCTCTACAGCTAGGAACCTACTTCCCACACAGTAGGCTGTATTCAAGTTTCTAGTTCTCTGTGCCTTATCTCAGTTGTGTTTCTGCATATACAAGAAGTAATACAAAGTCTGGTCAAAACAGGGATTTAGAGATGGGCATTTAACTATTGTGTACCTGTGTGTGTTTTCAATACCAAATGCTTCAGACCAGACTGCTGTAACACACTTTTCAGCTCTTAGTATATGGTTGCTGGCTGGTTCTTTCTATACAAAAACTTTTACTTTTGTCATATAGAAGAGTGTTCTTTAATACAAAGTTTAATAACAACTGGTCTATAACATTTAGTGTATAGGGAAGGAATAAATGTAATGTAGACATCCAATATGATTACACATTCAGTGCTCAATCTTTGCCTTGGCTGCTGCTAACAGCTAGAATAATGTAAGCTGTATTTCTACAGAAATTGGGGAGGAGGTGTTGCACAGCAGTGGCAGAAATTAAACATGGTCTTATCATTATCACTGTTTATATCAAGTATGGGGAAACTTTGGGAGACACATTTCAGCTCCACTTGGGACTTGAGAGCATGGGAGGAGGTCAAAGAAAAGTTAGTAGTGCCAAATTTCATTGTTACTAGTTTGGACATTTTCCCCACAAAGCATACAAAGGGCTGCTTAATTCTGTGCCTACCCACTTGAGAGTAAGACCTTGTACACAGGCCATCTATGGTTTACTTAACTATTAGTTGCATATATCTCTTCAGTGAGCTCATAGCAGGATAAATTACACTCCTGCCCACTTTACTCTCAAAATAACACTGATGTAGGTTAGACAGAAAGTGTGTTTGGCCCATGGTCAGACAGTTAATTTTACCCTTTGTAACAGCTATGATACCCTAGTGAGCATTCCCTATTTACTGCAAGGGGTTTTTCCTTACCATTATCCAATCATATCCGAGGGTTGCTTACAAACATTTTTAAAGCCACATAATTATGAAACAAGATGTGTTAAAACATGTTGAAGGCTTGGGGGAGGAAATCCCTCTTGCATGGTTAAAATCCTTTGGAGAAGTCCATTTCTACTGTTGATTCTCCTCCTAACATGCCTTCCATCTGTAAATCTCCCAGGATTCTGAAGGTCCTCATGCTGACTCAGCAGATCAATGTTGACAAGCATAGAAGTCGAAAACGATGGAATCTTAAGATCTTTCTTAACAAAAGAAGAGAGTCAAGACACTCCAGATGTACCAGTGTCTACTCTAACTCTAATTTTTCCCCAACCTAACTGCTCAATGACCTTCCCTTGGTACTCTCTGTCTGTGGCATTCTAACATCCATTCTTGCAGCCCTGTGGTTCACCAGGTTCCACACGCACCCACTACAATCCTGAGTTTGTTGCCACTATACAACCCGCAGAAACATACCAGATTACTTCTGCTGACACTTGTCCTCACTTGTCCTTTCCCTTCAGTGGTGGATCCATATCAAACACTTGTTCCTGGGCATGCCTTTTGCTCCCCCACAACTTCTCACAGTCCCAGCAGACACGTCAAGTGTGAGTTGAGGAGACGCGTGTCTCAGTTCTCTTATTCAGAGGAGATAGATGGAAATTACATCAACAGCTGTTGCCAGTTTTAAAAATCTAAAAAGCACTTGCTGGGAAATAATTCAGGTCGCTACTGACAACTCCACTAGTGTTTGGTGCATCAAGGAACCTGGTCCAATACACTGCAGGACCTCACCCTCAACTTTCGTCATTGGTGCCTCTGCTACAACATAGGCCTTGTAGCAGTGCATAAGACAGCCATGATGAACGATTTAGCAAAGCTACTAAACAGATCCCACCAAGAAGAACGCTAGTGCAAACTTCACCCTTGCCTTTTCAATCAGTTCTAAATATTGGGGCAGGGGCATGAATCAAGACACTCATGTCAACATCCAACTGAAACATCCAGTACTGCAGTTGAGCAGGGATCAGTAGTATCTCGCTCCATTTTGGCCCCGTGTTGGTACAAGAGAATGAGCATCAGTCCTCCTTCCAGTTATCTCACAGTGTGCAGGATTCAGCTCTAAACAGAAAGATAACAAATAATTTAAAACCATCTGTGCATCACTCCCAGGGCTACTAATGGCAAGTGTTCTGGTATTCCCCCCCCCTCCCCGAGCCATACCTGTGATCCTGACAACTGTTCGAATTTATCCGGTTTCACAGTTTTTGCTCTGTCCTTTTGGACAAAAGTTAAATTTTCTTTATCAATTAATATTTATTTAGCCATGTAATCAGTTCACTTTGTTCCATATTTTGCACTTTTTAAAAACTCTGCTTAAGAAATTGCTTCACAAAATAGCACAGCACATCCCACCACTAGTCCCACTGGCTGTAGCTGCGAGTACTTGCTCGACTCACGAAGCCTCCTTTTGAGCCACTGGCTAAGCCTCTTTGGATTTAATTGTCAGCCAAAGTAGCTTTTCCTCACAGCTATCACATGCAAAACAGGAGAACTGTGTTCCTTAAAGGTGGATCAATCATGTTTAATCTGGCACCAAGACAAAATTATCCTTCCCCCCTGACTTTTTCTTCCTACCGAAAGATATCCTAGCCTCCCACCTTTCCTAAGATACTGTCCTGCCAGTCTTCTTCTCACCATCTATGTTGGCTTTCAAAAGGGCTGTTCTCAAGCTGGATTTAAATAGGGCTCTTACATACACTGAAGCCTCTGTGCTGCAAGGTCAGAAGACCAGGAGTCGCAAGATCAAATCCACGTGATCAAATCCACCTGTCACTTGTCCCAGCTCCTGCCAACCTAGCAGTTCGAAAGCATGTAAATGCGAGTAGATAAATAGGTACCGCCTTGGTGGGAAGGTAACGGCGTTCCGTGTCTAGTCACACTGGCCACGTGACCACAGAAACTGTCTTCGGACAAACGCTGGCTCTGGATTGGAAACGGGGATGAGCACCACGCCCTAGAGTCGGACACGACTGGACTAAATGTCAAGGGGAACCTTTACCTTACATACAAGGGACATGGTGGCACTGCGGGTTAAACCGCAGAGCCTCTGTGCTGCAAGGTCAAAAGATCAGCAGTTCGAATCCATGCTACGGAGTGAGCTTCCATTGCTCGTCCCAGCTCCTGCTAACTTAGCAGCTCGAAAGCATATAAAAATGCGAGTAGATAAATAGGTACCTGTGACATTTATCCCATGGCCCCTGCTTGTTTCACCAAACACAGAGCTCACAAAGATAATCCCAACAGGCCATTTAACATGCTACTACCAGTTGATCTCTTTATCAATTTATATTTCCTATGAAAGACTGAGGTCCATTCAGTACTGAACTTTTAAACAGAAACAGGTTCATGGATTATAAGTCATCACATTCTTAAAGTTACACAAAGCTTCACCATTTTACTTTAATCTCTTATATCTTAATTGATACAGGTCACACTCTGACTAATCACTCCTTAAGCACTTTCTCTCTGCCTCAAACCCAAACTATCTTCTTCCTTCTCTGTCTCTCTGACTGAAGACTCTGACTCACCTCTCCCTTCTAGTTTCTCTGGCTCTGCCTCCCAACAGCTCTCATTGGTACATGCCAATAATCATCTACCTGAGCCTACCAGGCTGATCACTACATACCACCACGGTGGGAAGGTAATGGCATTCTGTGTCTAGTCGCACTGGCCACGTGACCACAGAAACTGTCTACGGACAAACGCTGGCTCTACGCCTTGGAAACGGGGATGAGCACCGCCCCCGAGAGTCGGACATGACTGGACAATTGTCCAGTCCTTACTGGACAATTACCTTACATACAATGTGCAATAGAACAGCCCCCTTTGAAAGTCTCCTTGGCTGTTCCTGACTCATTCCAGCCCTAGAAAGGGATCTTCCCAACACCTTGCAAAAGTGGATGGTGAAGACTTATCAGAATGGCATATCAACTTGCAGAGGCACCATGGCCAGCTGCACCAGAGAATCATTCCATAAGAGTCAGGTTTAGGTCCACTGCTTTTCTGAAGGGGTTTATCTTTACCTGGATTCTGCAAAGCAGTGACTTAGCCACACCCATCAACCTTTATCTGACATTATCCTCTTGACATGAGATTTTAGAAGGATACTTCTTTCAGTAGGGCAGTCCTCTCTGCTGTACTAGAGCGATTACAGGTGCCTACATGCCAGCCTTCATCTAATCTTTGAAGGTAAGCTCACTGATTTTTACCCATGCATGCAATGCACAGAGGCCATGACAAAGAAAAATGGGCTATTGACCTTCTCAGGCAAAATCCAAAGAAATAAAACAAGACGAAAACATGTGGCACCTTAAAGACTATATTTTAACGTGAGCTTTTGTAGACACGCCTACTTCGTCAGAGGTATGGAAACAAAATGAATTAATGGATGAAATATCAGTTTCACAGATAGAACTTTCTAAATATTCCTTGGCTGCAAGAGTCTTGGGTGTGTGGTACATCTCCTGTGCCAACATTCATGGACTATGTTTGGTGTTGGGTTCCACTGTAAACATTTCTATAGGAGACAGAAAACAGACAGGCTACTTACTTGTTAAGCTTCTTCTTAAAGTGGTCATCTGTTCATTCATACAACCTGCTTCCCTCACCTACTCCCTTCAGCACCTGTGGCTGTTGTTCTAGGGCTGTGCCATCCATATTTTGGGATGGAAGGACCACCCTCTTCCATATGCACTGAAAGGAGGGGGATTTGGGCCAAAACACTGTTCAGATGTTTCTGCACCATGGCTCAGCAACAGGTGCAGACCTGTACATCCAGATGCACAGATGACCAAAGAACAGACACAAGAGATGTGGGAAGAAGACCGGTGAGAAAACATATTAGGAAAGGTGGAAGGCGGAGGCATCTTTAGGTAGGAAGGAAAGGTCAGTGCAAAGGATAACTTTATCCCTGCACCAAGCTTGAACATGGTTAGTCCACCCTTAATGACAGTCTTATCTAAGTTTAGACCCTTGAGAACGTCCTATGTATAGGAGGTGGTACCACTGGTGCTGTGGACCTCTGCTTCAAGAGGTCTGTAACCTACTTAGTTAAGGTATTTAGCAAATACAGTATGTGGAGATAATATATTTTTTAGCCGCACCATTGCCAGTTAAGGTAATACTTAGTTAAGGTATTTAGCAAATACAGTATGTGGAGATAATCTTGTTCCAGTCAATACCTGGAATGTAAGCAACTACAGTATTCAAATTCGTTTTGTGGATCATGTTATTTTTACGAGATGCATCGATAGCTTTGGATCACAGATGCAGAGAGTTTTGATGTTGGCACCTAATATATATTAATTTTGCATAATTTGCTTTTATCTTCCTATAAAACGCAATAGCCAGGCGGGAGTGGGGAGAGGGATCGCCCTTAAATTCTACCTATAAGAGTAAACGGCCCTATATGTTTTTTAGAAAGAAGTTAAAATATATCTGGAGTTATGGCGGGATCAGGGGTGGAGGGGGAGCCTTTCCTGAGGGCGGCTGTCCTTTCCCCCATTTCCAAGCTTCAAGCCTGCCCTAGCGACGCGCTACCCCGAAGAAGTGAAGGCTTAGCTCGGCCAGAGGGGCAAGAGAATCGCGACAGGGTTATACTATCCCCACGACGGAGTTCCTGCGAGGGAAGTCCCGAGGCGGTTCGCTTTTTGAGTCGAGACCCGGGCGCCTCTTTCCTCCAGCGCCGCCGGGGAGCAGAGTCCTTTTCCTCGCCTTTGGAGGGGGAGAGAGAAGGGCGTGTGGGTCAGGGCGCGCCTCGCCGCTCGTGGCTCCCGTGTGTGTGTATGGTGTGGTGTGTTGTGCGTGCTTTCCGGTCTCTCGCCCTCTCGGGCCTCATGATGACTGACAGTGGCGGTGGCTGGGGGGCGGGAACCCCCTGCGCTCCTCTCCTCCCCGCCTAACTTTCGGTCTCCTCTTCCAGGCGCGCGTCTCGGCGGCGTGAGAACGAGCGGCGCGCCGCTGCCTTCGCGCTCCACCGGCAAGGGCAGTCCCAGCAGGTACGGAGCGGTGGGGTGGGTGCGTGGGTGGGGGGCTGAGGGAGACGACCTCCTGAACTAACTTTGAACACCCCCTCTTTGTGTGTGTGTGTGTGTGTTGTGTTTGCCCCTCGACACCCCCCCATCCTGTCCCCGAGAGACCCGGCAGCCGCCCAAGCCATATCTGGCCAAAACACTTCGCGGCCACCAGCAGGGGACGGAGAGGGCGCCGCCGCCTGAGCGCGCCTATTAATAGCCGCTCCTTCTTCGCCTCCTGAGGCGGCGGCGGCGGCAGCGGGGGGGGGGGCGGAATTGGAGGCGAGGGGGGACTGAGAGGGAAGGCACCATGGAGGGAGGGCGGCGTGTCCCCCCCCCTCCTGCATGGTGCGGGAGTCTGTTGGCTTCCCCTGTTATGGAGACACACCGCCTGAAACTTGTTGCACCCACACATACCCGCACCCCGCTTCGTGGTGCCCGTTGCCTTGCCTCGGGGAGCGGGGTCGGGGAGAGAAAAGCGGGCGACTGTGGCTGATGGAGGTGGGTGATCCAAACAGACTACCCCCACCGCTCAAATGATGATGAAGCCTGTGGGACTTCATCATCCTAGCGCCTGCAGGGCCTCCTCCACAGCCAGCGGCCCGGCATCCTTCTCCCCCTGGGGAGATAAGCAGCGAAGGAAAGATTTCCCCGCTTCACAACTCGGGCTGCCGGGTGTGCTGTTTAAAAAGCACAGAAACAGGCCGCTGGCAAAAGAGCCGATCCGTTATGGCCCTTTGTTGAATCTGTTTTGCACTCCATGCGCAAGAAGGGTGCCTCCAAATTAATCCACCTCCACGCAGTCTGTCTATGAATGTTTTTTTTACCTAGGGCAAGAACACATGCACATGTTTTGGAAATAAATTTAGTGGGAAACTGTTGGGGATCTTGAGAAGTTTGAGTGCCACCCAAAAGCCTGATTGGTACATTTCCAGCAGTCTGGATTTTCCACCCCTGTGTGAGCTACTCTTAGATAATTTTCCAGGCCCAAAGTTTGCTTGGGTAGCTGCAGGAAATTGTGAGTTATAGGCAAGGCATCTGAGGCCCCATCTCTTAGATCTCAGGGCTGTTAAAATGGTCCTGGTAAGTATTGCACCAGTTATAGCACAGCACAAAGAAATTATAGTGCGGGCACATATTGGGGAGGGGTTAAGAGTTGATTGTTGCTTTTTATTCTCGGTTTATCTAGATAAAAGAGAGAGCTGCCAGGATCAAAATTAGTTTCTCGTTTTTGTCTTTTCTATTTTACATAATCCCTGGGGATGTGGGAGAGTGAGTCATAAAGTATGATTTGCTGTAGGTGGGTTGCCATGCTGCAAGAAGGGATGCTATACAAAGACAAAACGAAGGCTGCCAACTTGAGCAGCCCTATTCTTGTTCATTTGAAGCAGGCCAGGGAACATGTGGCCCTGCAGATATTGTTGGACTACACCTTCCCCCATGTGATGGTGTTTGGAATCAACCAACATCTGGAAGACGCTATATAAAAATAGTTAGCCTTGCCAAATGACCGGATGAAAGCAGGCTGTTTAGCTTCTATTCCTTCAACAGCATTTTTATGTCCAGAAACAAGAAGGGCAGCTTAAAGAACAAAAACAAAAACCCAGCTTGGAGATAATAACCATTATCACCCACTAAGAGCTAAAGATCAAGTTGCTCTTAAAGGCACAAGAGCCAGATTTAAAATTTTGAAAAGGGGGCAGCCTAAACAGCAATTCCTATATAGGAATTAAACAGGTGATGCTTTTTCCTAGAATATTCATGAGGATGCATCAGAAAAATCAGTAAAAAGGTGGGAAATCAAATGCTGTAGGAGGTACTCTGCTATTAAAACAAGATAGACATTTCAAAAGTTCTTGTGAGTGGCCTTAAGATTATGCCTCTCTTGGCATGTTATGAGAAGGATCCTGTCTTTGTGAGTTAGAATGGACTATTGCAGTGCTTTGAATCCAGGAAACCTCAAGTGTCCAGGCAGACAGATAACTTTAGATGGTTCTGGTAATGGTTGTTGTGGGTTTTTCGGGCTCTCTGGCCATGTTCTGAAGGTTGTTCTTCCTAATGTTTTGCCAGTCTCTGTTGGCCGGCATCTTCAGAGGACAGCACTCTGTGCTCTGGTGTAGTTGGCTTTGGGAGTGCAGTATTTATGGCTGTGGGATAGGCTTTTGTCTTTTTCTGTAGATGGGTGATTCGTGTGTATTGTTGTGGGTGTATTATTGTACTAAGGAGAAGAGATTATCTGTTCCTGTGGTTGATGGGTGTCATTAGCTGGTCTTTTGTGTGTAGTGATCCCCTGTCCTTGTGGATGGGTAGAGTTCGTTGACCTTTCACACATTGTATTTTTGAGAGCTGGGAGCCAAGTTTTGTTGAGCTTCATACTTTCCTCTTTTTTTGTTGAAACTGTGCTGATGCTTGTGGATTTCAATGGCTTCCCTGTGCAGTCTGACGTAACGATTGCTGGTGTTGTCCAGTATTTCAGTATTTTGAAATAGAATTTCATATCCAGTTTGTTTCAGAGCAGGGGACATGGTGGCGCTGCGGGCTAACAGCGTTCCGTGTCTAAGTCGCACTGGCCATGTGACCACGGAAGATTGTCTTCGGACAAAATGCTGGCTCTGTGGCTTGGAAACGGGGATGAGTACCGCCCCCTAGAGTCGAACACGACTGGACAAAAATTGTCAAGGGGAATCTTTACCTTTACCTTTGTTTCAGAGCATGTTCAGCTACTGCAGATTTTTCTGGTTGTTTTAGTTTGCAGTGTCTCTCATGTTATTTGATTCTGGTGTGGATGCTTCGTTTTGTGGTTCCAATATATACCTGGCCACAGCTGCAAGGTATTCGCTATACTCCTGCAGTGGTGAGGGGGTCCCTTCTGTCCTTTGCTGACAGTAACATTTGTTGTATTTTTGTGGTGGGCTTGAATACTGTTTGGTAATGTTTACTGTACTTTCTGGGACATAAGAGGGATTTTCAGCAACTTAAAGTGCAACCGCAGCATTGTACACAGTGGGACAGGATTGTGTCCCTCCTTTGTTCCTGAACACTTTGTGTTGTAGTAATAGTGAAAGCAGGGAGAAATCACTATGCTCATTGCCAAAAGAGGCAGCCAAGTCTATATTAGAATGAAATTTGTGAACGAAATACAGTATATGAATAAATCCCTGCTTTAGAAGGGACCTTAGGTAAGTCATTCCTTCTCCAGCTGTGATACAACACTGCAGTTTCTTACAGAATTTATATCACAATTTCTCCAATGAAATGTAACAATATTATTATTGCTCAACTCTTCTCTTTAGTTACCACTTTCAAAAGGGGATATTGTCTCTGCAAAGAAAAGAAGACCAAACCCTGTCAGAGATTTACACTGGTGTAAGCATAATTGTGTAAATCAGTGGTTCTTAACCTCTTTGAAAGAAATGTCCCCTTGAGCCATTGAAGTTATCATTGCCCCCCTCCCCACAGTGATATTTATTTATTTATTCAATATGCTTAAATCCAATGACCCCTGAAAATAAAATTCAATTGCAGGAAAATGAAATGCCCCCAAAACCAATAACATTTAATGATTTAATTACAAGTTAATTTTAAGATGCAAAAAGAAATATTAAAAGGGCATAAAAACAAACTGCAATGCAGGAACTAAAGCTTTCAAGAAACCCGGGTGTGAGGCAGTGCTTCACTGGGCGAGGATGTGGACCCGAGACACCCTTTCCTTCCACCCGACCCACACTACAGCCACCTTCACACGTTTGGCTCGCTCCAGCGTCCTGTACTGCCCCCGTTCTGTTCCTTTGCCCCCACATCACCCCTTTTTGTTCTACTGCCCCCCTGAAAAATGAAAGCACCCCCTGAGGGGTGTTATTTCCCATGTTAAGAACCACTGGTGTAAATCATAATGGTAAATCACCGTTAATTAATGAGTTGGGGTTTGCATTCCTACTCATGAGCCAGTCACAAAGCTTGGGGCAAAATCAGGAATGCAAGGAGCAACATGTCAATTACTGCAATTTGCAATTACACTTATACTGGTATAACCCACCAACAAGATTCTCACCATTAATTCTCTAACGTGGAGTTTCTGGTAGGAACAAGACTACTACAGTGGAAAGTGCAACGGGTGTGTGAGTCAGAAAGACCTGATTCAGATCTTGTTTAGATGTCTTTTAGTGAGCCACTATTTCAAGCCTTGTGCCTTTTTCATGGGGTTCATAGCACTAACTGAGCTATTTGCATGATTGGAACACACACCTGGGGGTAAGAGGGGGCGAAATCACCACCTTCTGAAGCTTCCCAAGCCTCAAAAGAGTCTCAGAAGGTGGTGATTTCACCCCCGTTAAGTTGGAAGTGAACCCGCTTTTTTGGCTGAGCAGTGATTCACAATCCATTTGGCATTTCTGTCTAGCTCTTGAACATGCCAGTTACATCCTGTCGCTTGTTTGAAAGGCAATAACGCACCTTCTGGGACTCTTTTGAGGCTTGGGAAGCTTCAGAAGAGTCCCAGAAGGTGGCGATTTTGCCCCCTCTGGCCTCCGGGGGGGGCTGGGTGAGCCTCCAAAGGGTCCTAGTGTGTGTTCCATAAGACGGACCTCTCCATAAGGCTCACCAATTTTTAGGAGAAGAAAACAGATTATTTTTTCCTGTTTTCTTCTCTTAAAAATTTGGTGCGTCTTATGGAGCGAAATATATGGTATATTGCCTTGCCTTGGTTGCTTTTTAATAGTGTAACACAGTGGATAGAATATTGGACTAGGAGTCAGCAGACAAATCCCCATTGGGTTATGTAAACTTACTGGGTGTGTGTGTGACAATCTGCCAGTGTTAAACTAGTCCCTAAATATCTCACAAAGCTTGGAAAAACCCTACAGGAGTCACCATAAATGGGGATTAACTTGATGGCACTTAATCTGCAGCATTAGGTAACCATAAGTGCTGTAACTTCTTTTAAAATATTACTAACTTGAATTAAGGAGTTTATATGTGTTTTACCA